CGTAAAAACGAGGTTTTACTGTAATACCAGAGGCTAGAGAGAAAGAGGATAAACTATGTTCCTAACTACAGGCTAAGTTAAGTCCTACCTAGTATAGGCCTAGGGTCCTATGCTGACACCAACAGTCACGCTTTACATACAGACGTTGATTGAAATTTTGGGGGAAAAAATGGAAATAAATTAAAGCATGAAATAAAAAATAGAGTGCATAAGAGAAATATTATTAAATAAATAAAATATACCATTCGTCGGCGTTATTGAACTTGACTAAACTATCCTTGTAATGTAATTAATGTTAAATAATAAATAAATAATAATAATAATAATAATAATTTCAGCATTAATTACCTTGACCTAAGCCTTGTAATGAAGAACCATACTATTTACTAAGCCTATAATTTATAACAAGCCCAGGGGGAATATCTTTTGTGTTATTTCCCTTAACGTCGATTTTTTAATTGTTCTCTAATTCCTCGATTGTCTAAGTTCCCCTTAAGGTAGGCCTACAGGTTGGTTTTAGTAACATAATAACAATAATAATAATAAATAATCATTTCGGCATTACATGTAATTAACCTGGTCTAGTCTTGTAATCAAGAATCTGCAGATTACTATGCCTGATATTAATAACTAGGCTTAGGCCTCATTTATACATTCATCATTGGCAGGTCTTATGGCATCCAGTATTTTAGAGGTGCCTCTTCTCAGCTCTTCTCTTAATTTGAAAATAACTGTCACCCTGTTTCATTTGATCAAACGCCCCGAGAAACGCGCTTTTCCTCACTCTCTGTGCTTTCCTCGGATGGATCTCGACCAGAAAGCGTATATATTTTTTGTAGTTAGGCCTAGGTAATTATGCAAAACCCAGACCTAACTAAAAAAATAAAAATTGCCACAGTATGTCACTCAAGTTAAAATAACACTTTTTTACTCGTGCAGCTCAATCAAATATTATGTCATTTAAACGACCCATTAGTATTAGAATGGTAACATCAATGTATTTTTAAAAATTAGACAGCGACGTTCTCTCAGATCAGAAGTTGTTGATGAACTTTTGACCTGAATTCTGCAATATGAGATTGGATTATGACCAGTTGAGCCGCCGACAAGTTGAGCCTCCGTTCGTTTCTATGGAACGCCAAGCGCGTCTCTCAGAGAATGTAGTGCGTTAATTGCGGCGTATTTCAATTAACTTATTTGTTCTTGGTACTGTTGTTTGGGATGTACAGTATTTCAGTTTATTTACTCAATTATTTCAATTCATTTAATACTCGGTTTTTGCACTGATTTATTAAATATTTTTGGAACGTATTTATTTACTTGTTCTTTCTATCGTTTTAATTTAAATTTTGTGAGTATTTGCTCAGTCAGTTTGCCAGATAGTAAAAAAAAAACTATATACATTCTTATCATTTATTATATAGTTCAACAAATAGTACAAAAATAAAAATATATAAATTACAAAACCATAGTAAATACTGTATAATAACATAGGCCTAACACATTTAAATTTATTGTTCATAGTCGTCTGTCTAATTCAGTCGGCTTGCCAGATAGTAAAAAAAAAAATCCATACATTCTTATCATTTATTATATATAAGTTTAACAAATAGTACAAAAATAAAAATATATTAATTACAAAACCATATTAAATACGGTATAATAACATAGGCCTAACACATTTAAATTAATTGTTTATAGTCATCTGTCTAATTCAGTCGGCTTGCCAGATAGTAAAAAAAAAAAACTCCATACATTCTTATCATTTATTATATATAAGTTTAACAAATAGTACAAAAATAAAAATATATTAATTACAAAACCATAGTAAATACTGTATAATAACATAGGCCTAACACATTTAAATTTATTGTTCATAGTCATCTGTCTAATTCAGTCGGCTTGCCAGATAGCAAAAAAAACCAAAAAAACTCCATACATTCTTATCATACAATAAATTTAAATGTGTTAGGCCTATGTTATTTACTATGGTTTTATAATTTATATATTTTTATTTTTGTACTATTTGTTAAACTTACATATAATAAATAATTTAATTAAATAATTTAACAAAATAGTACAAATAACGAATAAGTTAATTGAAATACGCCGCAAACCAAACGTAAATAAACACATTTTAATACGATTTTGCAATTATACAACTTCATTTATTTTTATAAAAATGTAGTACATAAAATTACATTTTTAATAAGATTTTTCAATTATACAACTTCATTTATTTTTATAATAAAATAATCAAAATTCTAATTTTCAATTACACAACTTATACATCACGAACGGCAATACGAGCAAATCAACGATTGACAAGACTGTGGGATGAATATGTAGCTGGTATCCGGGGCAAGCCGACTACATTCACTGGGAGACGCACTACATTCACTGAGAGACGCGCTTGGCGTTCCATAGAAATTACCGGCGGCTCAACCGGTCATATCCCATGAGATTTTCAGGTCAATTCAGTCGAGATGGCCCGAGTGGAGTTTCATGTAAATGTTTTGTACGGAAAAAAAAATCGCCGGCGGCTCAACTTGTCGGCGGCTCAACCGGTCATAATCCGTTTCAAACAACATTTAGATTTTAAAATGCCATGTAAAAATAATAAACAAAGCACCAAAACGTTATTACAAAACAACTACTATAAGATTCAGGCTGTTAAATATCCAAAATAATTACTATTTATTGTATAACGACGATCGCACATCGTCTCATGGGCGCAGCCATCCTGGTTGTTTGTTTACATGTCTGCTGCCCTCAATCAGGTATTAAAAGACAAGCCATAATTGAACACTGTGAGAGACATTAGTCTACTCATTTCTTCCATGGTCTACTCGACGACGAAGTGTCGATAGCCTTAACAAAACTTAAACTAAGATAACATCAAGTGACAAGTGAGTTTAACACTGATATAATATAAAATGATATATGTAAATTAAAGTAATGTATAATTTTAGCGTGAATTAAGATTCCTTACGGGAAATTATAATCATTCCAGCCTATTGATCGTAGCGAGCCAAGCGGACATACACGCTACCCATCGTGCTATCAATAACATTACCGATGCGATCGGCCTACAAAATTACATCAATAAACAAATTCTTTAAAACAAACAATTCCTAGTTAAAACTTAAAAATAACTTGCCACTTACGGTTTACATCTAAGTTACAGGCAATGTTCTCAACAAAGGCAAATCATAGAAATTGAAGGCTCAAAAAGGTGTAAAATATTTCAAGAATAGGCGACACGTCTTAACGATGCAAGAGGTCCAAGAGAAGAGAACAATGACCCAAGCGCCAACATTCTCCGACGCTATTTGTAGGAGAGCTTAATCCGCTTAGTATATACTTGATCTAATTACATTTGTTAAACGTCATAAAAAATAGGACTCATTGATTATTAATTAATTATAATAAAAAATGTTATAAATTAAATCAGCCAAGAAGTAACATAGTTAATGTAGAAATATAAAAATATTCTGCACTTTATTTTCTTAGGTATTTATACAATGGTAGTGCTGTGCTGAAATGTAACTTTATCTATTGTTACATAATAACTAGTGGACTGTACTAATTGTACCCTCACATCTACCTACTTTCACTCAATAGACTTTTTGAAATGTAGCAGGATCTACACTATGGTTTTCTGCAGTTTCATTTCCATGTTGATAGGCGGCCCAGTGTAAAACAGGGCACACATCTGGGTTACCCTCCAATAACAACAGTTATTAGTTAGGAAATAACAATCATTATTGGGAAAAGTTAACTATAAAATATTAATTTCTTTCCTAGTTAACTTAATACATGAAAATATTGTAATAATTGTGATTTATTAGTCAGTCAATTATACCTGTACTCATTGCTACAACATTTTTTTTTTCAAAATATCAAGCCCGTAGCCAGGGGGTTCGTTAGGTTCGAACGAACCCCCCTTTTCATGAAGTGCCCTTTCAACAAAGGCTGGCTAGCCTACACTTTAGGCCTAGCCTAGAGCCTATCATCATTAAAAGTCCTACTTTAATACCCGATTGTAAGGCCTACCTAGTAACATAAAAAATTCATTTTTGTTTTTTATATTTTCCCAACTCAAAAAATTACCTCTTTAATATATACATTTTTTTTTTAATGTATGGCCTCTCAAATCAATTAAATAACACCTGTAAATGCTTAGAATGCTGGACCCCTACCTGGGTTTTGGCCCTGGACCCGTGTATAAGAGACAGCCAAGAGATAGACAAAAATAAGCTATAAAACTTTGATTAGAGCATTGCTTTGACCATTTTTTTTTTTCGACTTTGCGTAAAATATAAATGGTTCTGTTTTGAATTTTCAATTTTCGTATGCAGGTCTTCGTTTTTAAATATGAAGAACAGCACCACCACCACCATTCTTTCATATAAATTATCCTATCTGACAATCATTCATTTGTTTTAAGATAAAAAAAAAAAGGCAATAAAAAATCAAGCAAGACTACAATAGCTAGGTGCCAGCAGCTTAAAAAGCAAAATAATATAACAATAAAAATAAAAAATAAAATAACTTCTAAAACTCCGGAGAGTCAGCTTTCTCTTCGTAGATTATGCTCCTCAACACATTATAAATCCTGCAATGGAAGCATGTCATGCGCAGATACCAAAATGTCCACGAAATTGTTCAAGCGGAACTCTCAGCAAAATTAGATATAAAGATGTGGGGTAGGGAAAAAGTCCTGAGAAGGTCCATGAAACCATTCATGCGTTAACTCAGACATAAAGATGTGGGCTGAATCACTCGTGCGGAACTCTGCTATGCAAAGTTGTTAGCTCATTGTGTGTACTGTAGCGTGTACCTAAATACAACGGTGGGGAAAAACTAGAAGATGTAACAGCAGTATGTTTTATTAACTTAAAATTTGTACTCAGTAAAATGGGTATACTGAGCCGATATTCACCATTCAAAAGTCGATATGAGGTGCTAGTTAACGTTTATTAAGATTTTTGGAAAGAAAATAATGAAATTATGTCTCTAAATAGAAGTTCATATGCATCAGCCGAATTTGTACAATTGTTTATCAGTGTGATTAATCTGCTCAATAAACAGTTTTAATTACTTGTGCAAATATAAAGATGTGGGCAACCCACATCATTATAATACGACTTTTCATGGATCTCGACCTGCCGGTCCATTTTTACCGGGGCCATTTTTACCAACAACCATTTTAATCTGTTTTGTGATCTAAAAGTCAATATTGAGAAGTCAATATTTGCCCGCCTCTAAATTTTCATGGTTTATATACAGTAGTAGTCTATTTTTAAACGTTGATTGATTGGTTGATATAGGAAAGATTATAGATTATATTTTTAAATGGTACTCACACAGTACGATCTTTGACATTTTCTAATAATAGGTTACCCACCCCTGTGCTACTTTGTGAGCAAAATAGCCTACTTTGCTGATTGCCCAGGGCCACATGAATCAGGGACGTATCCAGGGGGGGAGCCGTGGGAGCCGCGGCTCCCCCCCCCCCTTTGTACAAAGTGTTATTTTAAAGCTTATTCTTGAGCCAATACAAATTATTTCCTGGGATCACTTAAAATGAATACTTCTAAACATGTAAATATGCATCAGTACACATTATACATAGGCCTGTAGAACAAAGCCTAAGCATGATTAAAAAAAATCTTAAATCCATAAATCTCAGGCCAGGTCTTTTAAGATAAAAATGCAATACCGTGGTTCAATTTCATTTTTATCCTTTTGCAAGTTTCTTTAAATGTTTATTTAATAATACTACTACTAATAGTCAGGGACGTATCCAGGGGGGAGCCGTGGGAGCCGGGGCTCCCCCCCCCCTTTGTACACAGTGTTAAAATTTTAAAGCTTATTCTTGAGCCAATACAAATTCTTTCCTAGGATCACTCAAAATTAATACTTCTAAAACATGTAAATTTATGCATCAGTACACGTTATACATAGGCCTAATAGAACACATAGGCCTAAGCGTGATTTAAAAAAATCTTAAATCCATAAATCTCAGGCCAGGTCTTTTAAGATAGAAATGCGATACCGTGGTTCAATTTCGTTTTTATCCTCTTGCAAGTTTCTTTAAATGTTTGTTTAATAATACTACTACTAATAGTCAGGGACGTATCCAGGGGGGAGCCGTGGGAGCCGCGGCTCTCCCCCCCCCCCCTTTGTACACCGTGTTAAAATTTTAAAGCTTATTCTTGAGCCAATACAAATTCTTTCCTAGGATCACTCAAAATGAATACTTCTAAAACATGTAAATTTATGCATCAGTACACGTTATACATAGGCCTAATAGAACACATAGGCCTAAGCGTGATTTAAAAAAATCTTAAATCCATAATTCTCAGGTCAGGTCTTTTGAGAAATGCGATACTGTGGTTCAATTTCGTTTTTATTCTTTTCCAAGTTTCTTAAAATTTTTGTTTAATAATACTACTACTAATAGTAATGATAATAACATGACGATAGTAATAATTGATAGTAATATTAATAGCAATAAAAAGTGAAGAAAATTGTGCTAAATGCGAAAAAAAAGTTGTGATTTGTTGATCATAATATAGTATAGTTAAAGCTTAGTAAACTATAGTTAGGCCTAAGTTGTCCTGGATATTAAGTAATTCCCTGATAAAAGATCATGAGAAATTTGTTGGCGTTTCATTTTGACTATAATGGTGATGATATGTGATGATGAATTTTACTATATAAAAGTGTCATTTCCGGACATCTCGAGAGGTACTATTTCCTCAAATTTTCTCACCTCAGCCCCAGCCATGCTAGTTGTGAAATCACGTTTTTGAAGTAGGCCTATGTAAATTACATACTCACAGACAATGTTTTTAAGTTTTGTTTTCTCACACACACCTTAACAGATCTCTATGCTCTATGATTGTCAAAAATCCAGATAAAAGATCATGAGAATTTTTTTTTTTTTGGCGCTTCACATTGACTACTGGTGATGTGATGATGATGAATTTTACTAAAAGTGTCATTTCTGGCCATCTAGAGGTACTATTTCCACAAACTTTCTCACCTCAGCTCCAACCATGGTGGGGCTGAGGTGGGTGTCGACTCACAAAATGCCCTACCCCCTCCACCTTTCAAAACAGATCTGTGCCCTTCCCTGGGTATGACATTAAACTCCATCGAGTCAGCTCCTGATGTATGTCTTAGTGACTGCTGTTTGTTTTTAGGATGTGATCTGGTTTTTTTATGTCCATTTTTCGTGATTATGACTATTCTGGATAAAGAATGTTTTGAGCAAAGCTGGGTTCAAGGCCCCCCACCCCTTCATTTTTTAAGTAAAAAAAAAGAAAAATATATTCAAATTGAAGTGCAAGAGTTCCGGCCGTCTAGAGATGCCCTAATCATAAATTTTCTTACCTCAGCCCCAACCATGGTGGGGCTGAGGAGAGTGGTTCCTCAGTCTGTGAATGTCCCTCCCAGCTGGTTTACCTCTCTTTCGAATTCCTGGGCCACTGTTGATTTATTATATAATTATTTTTGCGCTTATTTATAATGCGTCTATTGCAATTTTCACTTTATCCTTTCAAACAGTCCTAAGATCGTTCAGAGTGCGCTACTTCACAGGGGGATTCGCCCTCCCCCCTTTGACCCCGCCGGGGTCCTACGTAATTCGCATAACGGCTCCCCCCCCCCTTTCAAAATCCTGGCTACGTCCCTGCTAATAGTAATAATAAACAATGATGATGATGACGATAGTAATAATTGATATTAATATTAATAACAATAAAAAGTGAAGAAAATTGTGCTAAATGCGAAAAAAAGTTGTGATTTGTTGATCATAATATAGTATATATAGTTAAAGCTTAGTAAGCTATAATTAGGCCTAAGTTGTCCTGGATATTAAGTAGATCCCTGATAAAAGATCATGAGAAATTTGTTGGCGTTTCATTTTGACTATAATGGTAATGTGATGATGATGAATTTTACTATATAAAAGTGTCATTTCCGGCAATTTCGATAGGTACTATTTCCTCAAATTTTCTCACCTCAGCCCCAGCCATGGTGGGGCTGAAGTGGTTGTGAAATCACGTTTTTGAAGTAGCCCTATGTAAAGTACATACTCAAAGACAATGTTTTTAAGTTTTTTCCAATACAAATTTACATAGTTAGGAGGTAAATAAAAAGTACACTTTAACCCTTGCAATGTGAGAATGTACGGTATACTGTATCTATATATATGTAAAAGGCAAATTGGGGTTTGTATGTCTTTAGTAAAATGAAAGTAATCTATAGCAACAATGGCAAAATAAATTATGAAAATTAAGAAAATCCACTCCACAAAAGCAAACTGTAAATTACGAAAAAAAAATAAAATATTAATAAAACAAAGCAAGAAAACATTAAATTAGTGATTTATGCAATGTTTATACTATTATACTTTGTTTTCATTAATTATTAATACAAATTTAGTTCTCTAAAATACTTTAATTGATAGAAGACTGTATATCAGGGCTATTCCATTCGATAGCACTTAATACTAATTTTTTTTAAATTAGTCTCATGCATTCAGTTTGCCTTGATTCCGGTCCGAAAGGACAGGTACACAGCTAGTATTACATAAAACGGATGTACAGATTTCAAGAATGATGAATAATAATCATATAGGCCTAATAAAATTAAATATTATTATTATATTATAGTAGGCCTATTTTTATTTATTTTTCTTCATAACTTGTTTAGCCAGGATAACATTTCAGTATACACATAGGCCTATCTATATACTGTTTTTAAAATGGTCCTGGTATCTAATGCAACTACCATAAACTAAACACAAAATTAAACAAATTGAAAGGCAGTGATTATCACAATTTTCCCCACTATTATTATTTTTATTTTTATTTTATTTTATTTATTCTTTCTTTTTTTATTTTTTACTCCTTGACCATTTAAAATTCCATTAAATCATATTGTGAAGATTGTTGAGGAATTTTAGTTGAAAAATAATAATTTATATCGCGATTTGAAAAACTTGTAGGTGTATCTGGTATTTTTCAGGGGCGGATCTATAGCTTCAGAAGTAACACATAACACTGATATGCATTGACATTTTTTTTAAATAGTATCTAAACGATTGTGGGGGAGGGGTGAAGATTGTTGAGGAATTTTAGTTGAAAAATAATAATTTATATCGCGATTTGAAAAACTGGTAGGTGTATCTGGTATTTTTCATGGGCGGATCTATAGCTTCAGAAGTAACACATAACACTGATATGCATTGACATTTTTTTTTAAATAGTGTCTAAACGATTGTGGGGGAGGGGTGCTACTGGATCCGCCCCCTGTTTTTAGTAATACTTAGATTTGAATATATGTATCCGGAAAATGTAAAATGAAAAATTCTTTTTTTTACATAGGCCTATCTGGTTTAATAAATGAATTTGTTAAATATGGAGATATAGTTTTCCGTTTGTTAAAAAGCTAGATTACAGTAGGCCTAAGCTTTCGAGCGATGCACTATGGTCCAAAGCGGCACTCGGTCTTGTTACACGTATTATGCTATTATGAAGCTATAAAATTCAAATCACATGACAGTTGCCATACTGCACGTATTTCAATCAACGTTATCATTGTAAGAATACTACAAATGTATTTGCTTATTATAACACCACTGTTTACTTTTACTGCTCCTTGTAATACATGAATCAATAACTCGAAAAAAGGGGATTTGTCTACCCCTAAAATCACATCAACATTGTGACTAGACTCATCCAATGCAAATTTACATAGTTAGGAGGTAAATAAAAAGTACACTTAACCCTTGCAATGTGAGAATGTACGGTATACTGTAGCTATATATATGTAAAAGGCAAATTGGGGTTTGTATGTCTTTAGTAAAATGAAAGTAATCTATAGCAACAATGGCAAAATAAATTATGAAAATGAAGAAAATCCACTCCACAAAAGTAAACTGTAAATTACGAAAAAGAAATAAAATATTAATAAAACAAAGCAAGAAAACATTAAATTAGTGATTTATGCAATGTTTATACTATTATACTTTGTTTTCATTAATTATTAATACAAATTTAGTTCTCTAAAATACTTTAATTGATAGAAGACTGTACATCAGGGCTATTCCATTCGATAGCATTTAATACTTATTTTTTTAAAATTAGTCTCATGCATTCAGTTTGCCTTGATTCCGGTCCGAAAGGACAGGTACACAGCTAGTATTACATAAAACGGTGGCCAAAACGAGCGGTGGCTGCAATGACCTGTTTAAATTTTTTTTTAAATAGCGCATAATAACCCATGCTACTAATTATTAATAGCAGGATCCATAATAATAATAATATTTATTTGACATTACACTTTTACAACAGTGGCAGCACACAAAAAAGTGGCGCAATCAAACTTAAACTAATGAACAAAGAGGAAAACAACAACTTAAAGCTAAACAAATGAAAGAACTTAACTAAAGAAAATACAATTTAGAGTTTTAATAAATCATAAACATCCATTACCCTCCCCATGAAAATAATGTACATTCCAACATGATGATGATATCCAAATGACTTATCATGAATATTTATTAACACTTGTATATATGACCAGTCAGTGTATGTGTATAATAAACACTTCTAGGCTACTTTAAATCATCCGATATTGTAGATATCAGTTTGCCAGCATTCTCTTATATTTACTGTATTGTACGTTTCGTAAGCATGGCTACTCCACCTACTACTACTACCACTATAACACAAATTATAACATTGTTTCTAACTGCTGGTTGAATTATTACCTTACTAGGAATCATCTAAAGTACCATATCTCCATAGCAACGCTACTTAACCTTCAAAATTACCATAGTTTCTGCATAGCGTTTCTACTACAGTGTCAGTTGCTTCGATCTGTTTCAACATGTAAGACTTCTTCATTTTAAGAGCCTCATTTGGGCCTGAGATTATACACTACTATAGTAATCTCTGATTTGGGCTACAGTTATCACTAATCAAGAACTAGAAATGGTTGTCGATGAAATTAAGAAGTCTCACCCTAATGCAGGCGAGGTAAGTTTACTGTTTGGGCTAAACCAAACAGAGACATAAATCGTGAGGTTGCCAGACAATTGAATGCTTTTGTAAAAAAAAAATATTGGACAAAAATGGGGGTTTTGGGGGTTTTTTTCTTGGACTTTTGAGATACAGCAACAACATTTTTTTTAATTAAAATTAATCAATGGGAGTGTATCGAAAAACAGCTACACGACAAATTTGTTTTAAAGTGATGAATGAAATATAAAATAATCTGACCAGTTTTTTGAAACAAAAGGTCATTAGGCCCCATAAAAAAAAGTATTAGTTTATCACCCCCCTCCCTCATCACTTTTGGGGAAATTCTGATTTTTGTTTTTCCAATCAAAATATCATTTATATTTCAAAACAGTCGTTTTCCCTCTGTTTTCACTTGAAAATCTCAGGATTTCTTGCAAATATGTTTTTTTAAATATAAAGTTGATTCCACTCTTATGACTTTTTATGATAAATGTGACCCTAACCATTTATTTACTTGTGAACATGGGTAAAATGGGTGCGGGGATGAAAAATATAGGGTGATAAACTAATCATTTTTTCACGGGGCCTTAATAAAAAAAGTAATGTAAATTCTAATCACTGTTAACTTAAGGTGAATTAATAAAATACTGGATTTGATGGAAAATTGATACTTAAAAGGAAAAAGTAGGTACATAAGAAAGTGTAGTTTGGGTTTATTTTTCTGTCAAGAAAGTTGCCCCGGAATGGAATTAAAAGTCATATTAAATAACTGAAAATATACGATATATGATAAATACTGTACCAGGTTTTTCCCGCGCCTTGCCCTCTAACCTCAAACCTCCGCTGACGCCACCAAATACATAAACAAATAATAATAATAATAATAATGATAATGATAATGATAATGATAATAATAATAATAGTAATAATAATAATAATAACGTTTCTGTCAATATCACATCGAGTTGGCCTGTACAAATAGCCGGATCGATAGCCTTACCTTATAAATACATTAATGCCAACGTTTATGCCAAATTTCAATGTCTCGATTTTTTTTTATGTCTGACACAGGTGTATCTCATGGATCATCTCAGATCAAGAGGTATCAGAATTCAACGCGCATGCCTTCGGAAAGCATTACAAGCTGTCGACCCAACCGGGGAACAGAGAAGAACAACGAGAACTATAACCAGACGAATTTATTGTTCCATGCCCGAACTACCTCTGGCATTTTAACTGTCCACATGACGATCCGTTGTTGAGAAACATAGGTGTTTTTCTCTTTTATAGATCTGGTCCCAACTTTGAATATAATATGCCATTCAATTTTAATTGATTTGATCAGCCTGCGCTTGCATGTGGCTAGAGACAACTACACAGAGATAATATATCTATAATATGAGGGGTATATACCCACTTATATGGATGCAGGGTGACCTCGAAAATCACAAAAAAATGTGCATCTTTAAACAAAGCGGCTACTTTGAGTGCAGATAACTTCAAAAGGGAAGGGATAACTGTTAATCTAAGGCCATATTTGTGAAATATGGCGAAAAATAAGTCAGAATACCAAGTTTTACCTTGAAAGCTATTACCAATCCTGAGTTATAAGTTTCCAAATTTGAAGTAAATTGCGTTTGCACATCTTGAAGAACCACGCCCCTTTTTTGAGGAGTCAATATCACGGAAACTACATATCCTATTAGGCTATTTTTTTAAAATTTTTTTTTTTGGTTTTTCATACAGTGGATCATTTTTATGGAATTTCATCAAAATCTGAGATGGTCATACAGGATTTTTTTTTTTAATATGGTTGATTTGACATGGAATGACCCTACAATAGGTCAAAGGTACCATTTCCGGTCACTATTTGAATATTGTTTTCATTAAGACGAATATAAACATGAATCTCCTGAACAATTTGCAATCAATTGTGAGTCTCTGTGACCAGTAGTTACCGAGCTATGGCAATATAAGGTCAAAGGTCAAACTTTAAAAAATCGCATTTCCCGTCATTTTTTGATAAAAAGTTGTATTACAACAAATAGGAACATGCATATTTATTTATTTATTTATTTATTCTTTCTTTATACTGAATATACACTTTCAATACATAG